AAATAAGTCCCTCGATTCTTCTTCCTTTCTGTATTTAGGACAGGGTACTCGTAGTGATCCTCCAGTTTTCAGCCTCCCAAGTGCTGGGATTACAGGCGGTCGCCACCATGCCCAGTTTCAATCACTGTCTCAGTGTGCCCGGTGAACCTAGCCGGCACAGAACACCGGGGATCGAGCCCTGGACGCTGCGCTCTGCCTAAGCAGGCGCTCCAGTCCGCTGAGCTATCAGGTTGACCCGATTCTCTCGGTTAGATGGACGCCTCTTCTTATCTGCCTCACAAGCTTCTTGGCAAACTTCCCTCCACACTTCTAGGAGATGACTGCAGCCCCGGGAGGGCAGTGGCAACTTTTGCCGAAACGACAACGAAGCAGCTGACTTTAACATCCATCCAGTAAAACACATAAGACAAAGCGTTTCGCCCCAAATGGCCCTGTCTTCACTGGTTACCAGCCATCTGTGGCGCGTTCCTTCTTGGAGGGCAGAGGGGCCCAGAGCCGCACTTGCTACCTCAACCTCAGCCTCCCTTCAGAAACACCACCACATTCAGGCTAGAAATGTGTGACATGAGAGATGGAACTTAAATCTGCGTACCTTTAGGCCAACAGCTCTTAGCCTTATATTTACTAACATTCATGAAATACTTGCAACTTCAAGCTTCCTGAGTGCTACTGAAGCAAGTTTCCAACAGACAGCTTTTAACTGTTCATCAGAGATGCTGTCTTCCGTGGCAGGGCTTGTCGGAAGACACAGGGTGAACAGCAGCTCTCTCGGTGTTGAAAGGCAGAGTTTAAAACAGATTTACATGTGGAAACTGGTGCAAAACACAAAGTATTACAAAGAACTGTGGGATGGCTACTGATGATATACCCACTTGTGGTGGATTACCAATGGGTGATGGACATGTTACACCCAGCAGAATTAAACCAGCTGGGTGTAGGAGGCCCAACTGAGGATTGTTGTCAACAGCATAAAGGCAGAACAGGAGAAGCTGCTAAAATGTTGTTAGGGATGCTGTTTGGAAAAGCTGTTTGAGCTGTTGGAAGCTGCTTGTTCTCTTGGGCTGTTCTGCTGGAGGACCTTGTCATGCTGGCTTTCCTGATAAACTTTGGAGGAGCTCTGGTCCTCTTTCTGGCTCTGGGGGGGAAGATGGTGCACTGCCTCATGGGGAAGCTTGTTGAGTTGGCTTTCCTGATGGGAACTTAGCTTTCCTTATCAGTAAGGAGGAACTCCTGCTCCTTACTGGAGGAGCTGGGGACTTCACTGTTGCTGAAGGTGGCTGTGGTACATTTGGGGGAGCTCTGGTGCTTCCTTTGAGCATTACTTTTTGGCTCCTGTTCAAATCCCTTCGTCTGCTAGCACAGATCCTTCATCCTGCTGGAATAGACTTCCTGGCTTCCACCACTGACCGTTGGGCCTTTCCAGCACAGATCCACGAAGTGGGCTTGCATGAGACTTCATTGTGGGCTCTAGGCCTCCAGCTGGACTTGTGGGAGGCATTGTTATGAGCGCTAGGCCCTCAGCTGGATTCTTTAGTGTTTAGTGCGTGGATATATTTCCTGCACTTATTGTATATAATTCTTTGGGTGATTCACTATAAAAATTTTTTTTAAATTTTTATTTATTTGAGAGAGAGAGAGAGAGAGAGAGAGTGTGTGTGGTGTGTGTGTGTGGCCAGCTCAGCCCACCAGGGGGCGGGGCTGGCTGGCATGTGGTGCTGGG